CACACACACACACACACACAACCCCCCCCCCCCCCCAACACACACGTTCGAACTCGCTTAATCCACTAATATATTTAGAATCACCGCAATGCCTGAGCTCTTTAATTGTTGAGAACCCTTGGTCCACTATTTAGCCTCTTACCCAGCGCAATATCGGCACCATTCAGCTGATACCATTGTTTCAAGTGCTCGAATACTTACTAAACCTGACTTTAAAATGGAATCGATACCACCCATAAAAACTAACCATTGTTAGATTTCGCTGGATTTTTTAAATAATTAAGGCTAGCGACACAGTATTTAATCTTTCCTCGGTGTGTCATTAAATATTCACAAAAATAACAATCACCTAGGTCTAGCCATCGTGTGTCATGAAATATTCACAAAAATAACAATCGCTTAGGTCTAGCCAGGCAGCGTTAGTGGTATAAGAACCTAGATCTGGAATTAATACACGAACTACACATGTGGCAGAATACATTCGGAATAGTAGCGGGAGGACACAAAGCGTGCTGGAACTACTTTTAACGCTCTTTGTATTAATTCTCGAACTAATGTAAGTTTTAAAACCTAATAGAAATAGTGACTTTATGTTGTTAAAATAAGCCTTGAGACGTGTTTCCACCGACTCATTTAAAATTATATGTCATGCTAGTTAATATTTTGGCTTTATATGAATTTATTACTGAGTCAAATGAATTTTAGGACGGCGTGGGTCGAATGGTAGAGCGTGAAACGGCTAACCCGAAAGTTTCGAGTTTGAATCCCGAGCTCGAGTTCAGTGTTTCTTCCAGACTTTTTTCTCCGGGGGGGGGGGGGGGGGGCGCACTTGAAATTTCCGGGGGGGGGGGTAGACTTTCTCGAGGGGGGGGGGGGCACTGTTAAATGTATATATTTTCTATATAAATTCCATTTCGTTCGGAGGGGCGGTAGACTTTCTTCGGGGGGGGGGGGTGCTTAGCAATCCCCCCCCCCCCCCCCCCCCACCCCGAAGAGATGCCTGAAAGAAACTCGAGTTCGTAGGAAGTCCACGCAGCTTTGATGGGTACCTAACTCATGTTAGGAAAACAAAGGAGGCAGTGGCATCGTGCCAGCGCCGGCGCCAGGTTATTTAGCACCCTAGGTAAAACTTATTAAAACGCCCCCTTTCACACAAATTAATTACTAACACATATGTATAAGAAAACAATTAATTAAAAGTGACATATTAATTTATTATCAATGGCATACACGTGCATACACGTTATAAGTAGACATCAAAATCTAATTTTACTTGCCTCCTTCGCAGAGGCGTAGCGATGGGGGGGGGGGGGGGGGGGAGGGGAGGAGGGGACATATGTCCCCGGGGGCGCCGACCTTAGAGGGCGCCCAAAATGGGTTGGAAAAAGTAATCGCAAGTTTGAGGGGGGTGGGTCAAATCAAAAGTTTAAGGGTGGTGCAAAAGTTTGTCCCCGGGCGCCGGGAAGGGTCGCTACGCCTCTGCTCCTTGGTCTCAAAAGTTTGTACTAATTCTTTTCAATTCCAGTTTGCAAGCGTATTCACATTTTACTGAAATTGTTGCTAATTGCACGAGTCTACTTTTGTACTTTACGACATAGCCCCCCCCCCCTCCCCCCAATTTTAAGTGTTTCCCTTCGCTCCCGGGAGAAAAAAGTCTGGAAAAAACACCGAATGCAATAAAAAATGTTCTTGTAGGGTTGGGCTCCCTGCAGTCCTCCCAAGATAAGTTTTAAAACGGAACTTACCTGTTTTAAGCTTGACTGTCTTTAGTTATAATTGTAAAATGTCTATATATTGTGATTATGTAACGATTTTTTTTATTTTTGAAAAATAAAAGGTTATAAATAATATAGATTCCAGCCTAAAATTGTTATATAAAAATCCTTTAGGAAAGGGTGAAACATATGAAAAGACAATTATTATATGCTTAATTTACGACTGTGTGTCTACTAACATTACGTATTGAAATCTATAAAGGCTACTGATGTATTTGTCTTTCAACTTGATAATGCTAAAAAAAACTACCAAACTATTTTGTTTAGATCTATATAATTTTTACAATAACAAACTATAACTTAAAGTTATATTTATATATAAGCTGTCAATCAAGGGTGCAGGAATTTGAAATGAATTTAAAGTTAAACAACGAATTATCTCCCATTTGGAAATACAATACCAATATTTTATTCAAGGTAAATAACTTTCACAAGTTTAGCTAAATTAACCAAGTGTAACTAAGACATGCTTGAAATTCACAAAAAAAAAACCGCTCTAAATTTCATTATGTAATCACTATATACATTGTTTTATATTAGCTATGTAAACATGTAAAAAAATATTTTACCTATTGAATACTTAACTGTAGGTTTTGCTTGAAAGCCTAAAAACGTTAGCTTGATTACAACGTACTTCCATTCAATTTTGATGACATTCTATGAGTCGCGAAATAAATCTAGCAACGATTCTTGTAAAATCTTGGATCCCCTAAAAGGACGCCTTTCATAAATCAAACACTGGTAACTGTTTTAGACATTGCTAGAATTGTTGATTAAATATAAGAAAAAAATATAATTTGAAAAAAAAAGTTAACGGTTAGTTATAAATTCAATCCTATTTAATAGTATATATTAAGAGTGTTAATATAGATTCCTAAAAAAAACTAAAGATTTTTCAACTAGAGAACGCCTTACCTTTCTTTGTAGTGTGTTCCGTACTGAATTGAAAATCATCTAACTTACGATAAACTCGACTACTAGGACATACTCTACTACATTCACAACACCATATCAAACTTCGATACCTAAACATAACAAGACTCGATGCTCCAGAACTACGACCCCAACTCGTTTAACAAACAGTACTCCCATTCAACGATTTCACTGGACCTATTACTACACTTTAACGTCAATATAATTCGATACCTTAATACCACAAGAATCAATACTCCCGAACACCAGAACTACGATACTTCATCACCTACTTTATCATTTCTCTAATTACCAATCAGATTCCACGAGATCTTAACTACAAAACAGCCGAATAAAAATTATGACACTTTAACACTTCGATACTTTATACCTACGAAACCATATCATCAACAGCCTTCCGCCGTTACTCCCAAATCTAAACGATTCATCAAATCTTACCAAACAAGTAAAATACTTTGAACACCCCGTCATTACAAAATTCTATACACCAGGACAGATTTCTAATTCAAAGTCAGAGAAAACGAGACTTACAACCCTATTAAAATTAGATAACCGTTTGAAATGTTCAAAATTTAGATAACGAACTCATTTAATCGTTTTCTACATCAATTATGTGACACCAAATTAAAAAGGCAAAGCGACTGATAAAAAGAGCCCCGACCTTTCCAAATTAGGGATGTGGGGTTGCATTTTTTCCATCGCGAATCAAGATATGCCTATATAGACCTAATTTTGGGGTTAGGTGCAAAATTGATAGTTCATCCTGGGCTCTACCAATAGATCACTACTCCTTTATAAAAGGTATTAATTATTAAGTACTTTTTGATAATAGGGGTCGTCCATAAATTACGTCACACTCGTAGGGGGGAGGGGGGGGGGTCCGTAATTTGTGATGAGGGGGAGGGGGGGGGGCGGTTCAGATGGTGCGAAGTCACACTTTTGCATTATAAGAAAGCAATGTTAGAAAACGAAATGTTTAGCTGTTATTTCACGTTTCAGAAAACTGTTTTAATAAATTGCAATAGGAATTGATTGAAATACTCTATTTCAACTGAGTTCAGACAAAATTTTGGAAAAATATCAATGTTTTAGGAAAAAAATTCATCTGCAATTTTGAGGGGGGGGGGGGGGGGGGGTTGTAGGCCTGAAGTGTGACGTAATTTTAGGGGGGTCTTGCTTTTTGTGACGATGTGTGACGGAGGGGGGGGGAAGGGGAGGTAAAAATCGGCAAAAGAAAGCGTGACGTCATTTAGGAGGACCCCCATAGCGATAGACATTTTGCGTCCCCTAGGGGTGGCGCCTTAGGCGTACCACCTAGTTCCCCTTTTAAGTAGCGCCGGCTCTGCATCGTGCATACCACGCACTTAGGTCACTTAAACAGTTAAACTCAATTTCATCTGCCTCATAATCTTGGACCACCAAATTTTAAAAAGTAACTTAATTTTTTAAGTTTCTAATATAAAAATAATTAACGAAATAAATATATAGGTTTTAGTATAACCGTGAGGTAAAAAAAAAATTCTGTTTAAATTTTTCACCCGCTAGTAATTTTAAGACACGAAGAAGACCCGTTTAAAAAAATACAACTGAATAATGTACCGTTCGAATAAAGATGGAGGAAACTGTATCACACAGATTTCACCTTCCGACCAGTCTCGCGCGGCCAAGCAGAAGACAAGTTACGCGACACATACGCGTGGTATCGATCTGACGACAGCTGGTATCGATATCGCCACCCATCCAAGTAAACGATCCGTGTTGTGGAAGTAATTTCTAGGACGTGGAAGGAAGAAGGTGTATTAAAAACACGGATCTGGAAGTTGACAGCAGACGTTACGGGACTCAACCCGGAGAGGAAGGCGGGTTTCCGGAATTCTTCAAGGTGGGTGCACGCTATTCTACGCTAGTGCTAAATATAAAATACTGCAACAAATTTCTAAAAAAATAAAATCTAGATCTATTCGCTGTGTAGTTTTATGATGTCAAGCACATCGTTATCTTTTTATAAAAATCCAAGGCCTACTTTTACAACGAGTGTTTATTATTAATGTGTGAACACGATCGCCTGCATTGTTTATGTTGACGTTTGAATGAACTTTTTTTTAAACCGCGCTTGCCATATGTCCTCGTCTGGGATTAGCCACCGTCTGCAGTCACATTACTCGTGTAAGCCAATGGTAATTATCCCCCCTCGCTGTAATCTCGTAACTATTAACACGTACTTTAAAAAGCTGTTATCGTTTGTATGTAACTAGGTTAGGCTACTCGCGTGTGTTCTGGGGTACACGGGGTCACACGTGTGTGCGGCGTGGATGATTGGGTTTAGTTTTTTTCTGGATGGCGTTTGTGGATGTCACCGTGCCTGCTTGTCTGGATAATGTACACAGTTTTAGAACTTGATTTTCTCAGGTAAGTTTATGTACTAACTAGACCCCCATGTTTACAGAATGTGTTTTAAATATTTTATTTGAATGTGATTTAAGGCCTATTTATTTATTGTAGATTAAACAAATCTTTAGATCTAGATAAGCAGATATGCATAGAATCTAGATCTGCAAAAAGATCTTTAGGCCCCTAATATATCCGCATGCATCTAGTTTGGTAGATCTAGATCTAGTATGACAGGCTGCACTACTGAATATAGCTTTGGTTATACATTTTTACTTTCTCGTATATACGAAGTATAGAGAAAGTATTGTAATCGTGCACAAAAATCAATTGAAATTTTAACAATTTTTACCGTATTACACCTCAGTCCTTCATCACATCCGACAGTGGCGTAGCCAGGATCGTCTCAAGGGGGGGGTTCCAATTTTTACCCGGGGACAAACTTTCGATTTGCACCCCCCCCCCCTCAAACTTTCGATTTGCACCCCCCCCTCAAACTTTCGATTTGCACCCCCCCCCCTCAAACTTTCGATTTGCACCCCCCCCTCAAACTTTCGATTTGCACCCCCCCTCAAACTTTCGATTTGCACCCCCCCCTCAAACTTTCGATTTGCACCCCCCCCCCTCAAACTTTCGATTTGCACACCCCCCCCCCCTCAAACTTTCGATTTGCACCCCCCCCCCCCTCAAACTTTCGATTTGCACCCCCCCCCCTCAAACTTTCGATTTGCAACCCCCCCCCTCAAACTTTCGATTTGCACCCCCCCTCAAACTTTCGATTTGCACCCCCCCTCATACTTTTTATATATACCGAGGGGTCTATGGGGGGGGTTATGACCCCCCCTAACCCCCCCCTGCCTACGCCACTGACATCCGAAGTATAGAGGACTTATTTTAATCGGGCAAAAATTATCAATCCAGATTTATCAAAATTAAGAGGTTTTATGCGTAATCCAGTTTGAAAAACTGGGCGTTGCAATTCTGTCCGTATGTCTGTGTGTGTGTGTGTCTGTCTGTCTGTCCGTGTGTAAACACGATAACTTGAGTACCGTTACAGCTAGGTTGATGAAATTTCATATATAAGTATTTCATCAAAATCGTAGATCCGTATCAACTTTTGAGCGATTTCCGATAACCGGAAGTGGTACTTTTCCTACTTTGAATTTTTTAAAAGCCTATAACTTGAGTACTATTTCAGATAGATAAATGAAATTTCACATGTAAGTAAAAGATCTAATTCTCTACCTTCTGTTAAATTTTGAGTAATTTCCGTTGACTGGAAGTAGTAATTTACGCCACTTCCGATTTCTCAAAAAACTAATGTAAATTTTAAAAGTACTAATAATATTGCGCACTATTATGCGCTTTTTTATTTCGCGTTCACTTGGTGTGCAATTAATTTGTCTACGAGATTTTATTCTATTTTTAAAACTTTAAGTATTTAAAATGGATTAAAAATCATGTCTATAGCCCGAGTTCCCATCCCCTGTTATTTTATATAAAAATATTCGAGAAAGTTTAGGGGAGATCACTCCCGGTTTATTATAATCTAGAATCTATTTATAAATATTGAGACTCATAACTAAGGATAATATTCAGTGCTTCAATACAGTTATGGTTAGTGTTAGACGCAGAGTTAAGGCCGGGGTTATGGTTAGTGTTAGACGCAGAGTTAAGGCCGGGGTTATATTGGAGACTTTGAGATTGATGTCAGGCTAATGTGCAAGTTTTAAAAATTGGAACTGACTGCAAAAGTTTGTTTAGCTATAGTTATGGCTACATATCATACAAACTATACTAGATTCTCTATGGATTGTGGGACATTGAGACTGCTTTGTCCACTCTGTTGTTAGCGGCGTATAGGTCGCATGGTTAAGGTTCTTGTAAACATACAGCTTGCCGATAGGATACCACAGAGATACGTTATTCCCTTGCCGTTGAATCAAAGTTAGGGTTATGGAAAGGAATAGTTCCTGGACAAACTCCCTTGAACCTCAGTAACACCCCCCCCCCCCCCCACAGATATAAACCGCCTACAACCTTCACTGCGTGACCAACAAAACACGCAAAAAATATTTCTTAACATGTGCCGTCACTAAACATATTAAACGCAATAATTTCATAGAAAAGATGCTACATGTACTACTAAATTACTACTATTAGATTTATTCTTTTTAATTTCCTTCTGTTTATTAACCTTGCATTAGGATTTTGTCCAGTTTCTTTATAGTTTTTCATTTATATACATGTCGCGTTAGGGGGTGGGGTTTTTAACGGCACCTACAGGGTTTAGAGGACATCCAGAAATGACGCCATGCTTTTTTTTTACTATTTTACCCCCCCCCCCCCCCCATTCTCTGTCACACATCGTCACAAAAAGCCAGACCCCCCTAAAATGACGTCACACCTCGGCCCACAATCCCCTCAAAATTGCAGTAGAATTTTTCTTAAAATACGATATTTTTCCAAAATCTAGTCTGAACTCTGTCAACATAGAGTATTTTAACCAATTCCTATTACAATTTATTAAAACAGTTTTCTAAAACGCGAAATAACGGCTAAAATTCGTATTCTAATATTGCTTTTTTTATAATGACACCATCTGACCCCTCCCCTTCATCACACTCCGTCACAAAATTACGGACCCCCTCCACCCCTACGAGTGCAACGTCATTTATGGACGACCCCTTAGGGTAGCTATGTTAGTATGTGTACACACACACACAAAATGACAATAATTTTGTTATTCCTTGCTGGCGTTCACACAAGTAATTCAGTCACATTCGCTCATGACAACCTACATACACTAACGAGAGGGGGGGGGGGGGCGGGGCTAACGTCCCGCTTCGAGCAACACTAGTGCAATTACACACAGTGCCATTGCATAATTAGAGTGCTCATAGTATTGGTTATCCACCGCCTCCGCCCCTTTATATATCCTCGCTAGTTTCTACACCTTACTCTGACTGAGCTTATTCTTAAAATTCACAAAGAAGTGGCTTTATATAGAGGAGGTCGGGTCGGTAAAGCTCATGGCTGCTAATCTGAAAAGTCTCGAGTTCGAACCCCGGGTAGATGAAGCTCGATAGCTGGGGACAGCAACCCATCTAAGGGAGACAACTCCAGTCAAACAATTGCTGACTTGTACTTTTGTTCTTTAATGGACAAAGGCTATGGAAGCAAATCCAAAAAGAAAAGCAGGTCGAAATAGGAGTCAACGACCTATAACATGTTGACACGTAATACTTGGGTTGGAGGAAATCTCTTCCAACATTAGAATTAAGAACGAAGAAGAAGAAAAAAAAACATTGTAACGAAATAAAATAAAAAATCCACCTCACTTTCCGTGACCTGTTTTATTCAAAGCGAGTTGTCAACTGGAATGGGAATTTCGCATACTAGGATCAGCTGTATTTTTAGACATTCTTAAGAAATAACCGATCGAAGACTTCTGTGTAGAGGAGGCATGCACGCGTGGTGGGCTACTCACACTTATAGATGGGCTGCACTCATAGAGGAGTGAGATACTCACACATATTGGTGTGGGATACTCACACATATAGGTGGGCTACATACATAGAGGGATACACATATAGATGGTATACACACTTTGGTGGGCTACTCACACATCGATAGACTACACACATACACAGTGGTGTGGGATACTTACACATAGACAGGCTACAGACATAGATAGGCTACACAGATACAGGGGTGGGATACTCACACACGTAGTTGAATTACACACTTAAAGATGGGCTACACATTTTCTTAAACCAACAGATGTGTCACTATCTGCTTTATTGATCTTTACACTTATACAAAATACTTTCAATTATTGATTAGCACTAAAAAAAAAACAACTGATTTTAAAGGCTGGACTCTGACCCTTACTTAAAGAACTAACAATAATATTTAACTGTCACTTTTCCTGCAATTTGCATTGCAATTTTTCATGAGGCCCGAAAATAAAAGTAATTCAATTCAATCTCTGACTTCATACACCAGTGATGTGTATCTGACTTAAGGACAGACCGCTGGACATACTGCTGACCACACAACCAATGCACGTCCCGAAGTCCTTAAAGAAGAGGGTAAATAATTAGTTTATGTTTTAAAGTTTCTTTGATACAGCGAAGGTGACAAAAATCAAGTAATTAGCCCATGTTTCTGGGAGGGGGGGGGGGGCGGGGGGGGGGGGGGAGTTGACCTAGATATCCTACTTGGCTTGAAATTGATTTGTTGATTACAGTCATCGACTCACTAATATCAAAGAAACCAAACATCGTTGTATTAAAGGGTTTACTAGCTTATTCACGTCACGCTGTGTAACGTCATCTCAGTCATTTGCGTCACGGTATTACGTCATCCTAATCATCCACGTCACTTTCTCGTCACAGTGTATAACGTCATCCCAATTATTTGCGTCAACATCTAACGTCATCCTAATCCGTTACGTCAGTGTGTAACATCATCCTAATCCGTTACGTCACAGCATCTAACGGCATCCTTATTCATCACGCCACAGTGTGTAACGTCTAATCCGTTACGTCACCGCGTGTAACGTCATCCTAACCCGTTACGTCACAGTGTGTAACGTCACCCCACTCCGTTACGTCACAGTGTGTGACCTTGTCACAGCTCACAGACTACCAGACGACCCAGGTAAAAAAAAATGTAGCGACTGTGAGCACTGGAGCGCGTCCACAACGCCCCGTGAGAAAGGTTTGCGTAGAACAGCTTGCCGCCCAGCCCCCAGCCCCCCGCTGTGTTAGCTGCAGCTACAATAATTAAATATGTATGCCAAATGTTTCTGATTCAATTCATTATGTGTACCCTAGTCAGCCTTTCAAAAACACTTAATTAACAATTCACGCGTGAAATGAACACTTGGATATATTTTTTTTTAATACCCTGATTTTTTTATTTTTTTTGACGGCTTTAGCTGACCCACTTTGAGATGTCGATTTCAAGCCATACTAGATTTAATTACTTTGTCAAATATTTAATCAAGTTTTTAT